TACCAAATTTTAATGAAATGATTATCTCAAACAGATGGAATACAAAAATGTATTTTATGACTAAATGTTCGAAATGATAAATTCTTCCTGTCCAAGTTGAGTTTATCCCAGAAGTGAAATTATGGCTTAATATTAGAATATTCATAAATATAATTCACTATATTGAGTCTAATGGAAAAAAAAATTGTGAAATTTCTCTCAGTCAAGTCAGAAAATCCTACTCAGATTTCAAAACAAGAACCATGAACTAATTTAACCCTTCACCCTACTCCGAAGTCGAAAAGGAGTCAAAGGAAACCCTTTAACCTAATACTTGGAATCTAACTCCTAGTCAGTATAGTAAGATAAGACAAGTAGGAGTTGAAAATGTAAAGATTGAAAAGGGAGAAAATCAAGCTGACATTATAGCACTCTAAGAATAGCAAAAACAAATCCTATAGAAAAACTTATCAGAAATAATAAAAATTATCAGTAGTATATATAAAAATTACATTTTTTAGGCTGGGTGAGGTGGCTTATCCCTGTAATCCCAGCACATTGGGAGGCTAAGGTGAGAGGATCACTTGAACCCAGGAGTTCAAGACCAGCTTAGACAATATTATCAAGACCCCCATCTCTACATAAAGTAAAAATTACCTTTTTATATGTTATAAAACAATAGAAATCATAATTTTTAAAGAAGGCACCATTTGCAATAGCAAAAGAAATGTAAGGTGTAGAGAGTAAATCTAACAAAAATGTCCAAGACCTGAATGGAGAAAATGAGTTTTTTTTCTAAAGGCTTTTTTAAAGATCCAAGTTAATAAAAAGCCACATGCTGTTCACAGATATAAGACTCAAAATTGTGAAGATACCAGTTAAAAATCCTTATAGTCCTTTTCAACAAAACTTAACAAGTCTATTCTAAAATATAGATGGAAGAGCAAAGGCCCAAGGACATAGAAGACATTCCTTAGTAAGAAAAATAAGATGTAAGCCATAATAATTAAAATAGAGTATTATTCTTGAAGACATGGATATATTGATCAAATGGACTAAAAGAGCCGTAAATCAACACACATGTGCCAATTGAAATCCAAAAGAAGTGACTTTGCTTATTAATGGATAAAGGATGGGCAAAAATGAATTGGATCTCCACCTCATACTGTTCAAAAATGTTGATTCCAACAATGAATGATTGGATTTTTAAAATGTGGTTTATATACACAATGGAATACTATTCAGCCTTAAACGAAAAAATGGAAATTCTGTCATTTGCAACAACATAGATGAAACCAGAAGACATTATGTTAAGTGAAATAAGCCATTCACTGAGAAACAAATACCATAATATCATCTCGCTTACGTGTGGTATATGAAAAAGTCCAACTTACAGAAATGGAGAATAGAATGGTGATTATCATTCTACATCGAGGGTAAGGGGGTTGCACCAAACTCTATCTGGCAAGTAACACTCAAAGAATTTCTTTAGGCAAAGTGTAGCTGAAAGTAGTTGGTGGCAGTGCAGTTTATTTGCCAGTTGACTAAATAAACAAGGTCAAGAAAAGATGATTGATATTTTAAAAAAATTTTTGTCTTATAGCCAATTATCTTTATGTCTGGCTAACCCTTAACTTTTCTTTCTTAATTCAAATTTAGGATGGAAGTCACTGAGAGGCAGTCACATCCAAAATGATATTGTTCTCTTTTAATTATTAAGCTTTTCTGTTTTAAGCTACTTTTACTTCTTAACATTTAGAATAAAAGAAAATCTCAAATTACTGTTTGAACTGGGATATTAGGCTCAGACTGAACACCTATTTCTGTGTTCTCTATTGGTATTTTTTTCAGCTAAAATTCTTCTAATAGTTATAATATCAGAATATGCTATGTTTTAAATGAAGTAGGTTTTTAAATGAAAATCAATAGTGCATTTTTCATAAAACAAAATAGGTTTAAGTACCTCTTCAGACCTTATTTCTAAATGTAAACATTGTTTTTATAGGTCTTAGAAAAGTAATTTTGACTTTTTATTACCCATGGGAATGCTAAAAGGGTGTGGCAATTGTATCTGATAGCAGATGGCCTATTATGTACTCACATTTAAATGTATTCAGTCGTTAGAGTAGAAAATTCACATCAGAAAATGTTATACCTTAATTAGACTCATAAATAAGCTACATGATATATTATTTATTTATTGTAGGTTCCTCTTGTTAATTTCTCTCAAGCAAGAAATACAATTTTGATTCCTGAATATTTGCTTATCCTTTCTCTATCACAACCTATCTTCTTATCCCATCTCCCTTATAGATACATAGATACATGAGTATACATGCACACACACATACAAATATACACACTTGTCTTTGAACCCATGATTGTCTTCTCCTACCATTCTCATATTGATGTGTGTGTGTGTGTGTGTGTGTGTGTGTGCGCACGTGTGTGATGGAGTCTTGCTCTGTTGCCAGGCTAGAGTGTGGTGGTGTGATCTTGGCTCACTGAAACCTCCGCCTCCCGCCTCCCAGGTTCAAGTGATTCTCCTGCTTCAGCCTCCCAAGTAGCTAGGACTACAGGTGTGTGCCACCATGCCCAGCTAATTTTTGTATTTTTAGTAGAGGTGGGGTTTCACCATGTTGCCCAGTATGGTCTCAATCTCCTGACCTCGTGATCCACCTGCCTTGGCCTCCCAAAGAGCTGGGATTACAGGCATGAGCCACCATGCCCAGCCTCTTATGTTGATTTTTATTACAACTTTTGTCTCATTAGCTGCTTCTTAATATACATGACCATAATACGAAGCAATATGGTAGAAAACCACTGACTGTAGCTAGCTTTCAAATCTTGCAACTTACTGCCTCTTACTACTTTTATTGCAGTAAACAAGTATTTAACCACTCTGGGCCAAATTAGAGAATGCAGAATCCAATTTGAGAATTAAAGGGATCACATAATAAAGTATCTAGTATTGCAGCTGGTATTTTATAGCTTAGCAATAATAACTATCATTTATATATGTCAAGAACTGTGAAGAGTTTGAGAGTTTACCTACTAACAGGCTAACAAGTTAACTTGACACCATTTCATTCATTTGGGGTCAGAGACAAAGAATTCTTTGCCACTCACACAATAACAATAGCCAGATTAAACAATTTTTTTTTTTAGGTTTCTGAACCCGTACTCCCACAGGGCTATGTGAAACGGACAGATGACACTTGCATCCATAGTGGTTTGTGTCATTGGAGGGAAATCCTGAATTTAGGTAATGCAGTCTTTTATAATAGGTAGTAGACTGTCCAGCCTTTGCTCCAGTTTATCATTCTGGGCAGTAACAAACCACTTAGCTTAGGAGGGAGATACTACATCTGTCTTCAAATACTGTTCATTATGCAAATATCTTTGAAAAGACAGTTCAAAACAAAGGTGCTTTGTTGGTGCTTGTATCTCAGTGTATGTAGTTTTGCACTTGTCTGCTTGAAAATCTCTAGTCATTTTCCAGAAGCATTAAAAGAAAATCCAGCCTCTCTATCTTGGCCTAGAAGACCTGAGGGATCAAGCCTCAGCATACCTCCCTGACCTCATCTTATACCTTTATACTGGCTTTCTTTCTGTCTCCTAAACCCACCAGCAGCCTTTACATTAGCAGTTCCCTCTGCTTGATGTGTTCTAGATCGTCACTTACCTAGCTCCTTGACATTCAAGATTCAACTTGAATCAAGTCAGAGTGAGACCTTATCTCTCTACCTAATGTAAAGTAACCTCTCAGGAATGCTATCACAGCACTCTTATTTTGTTGTTGTTATTTATTGTTTATCTCTGCCTCCTACGATACCCTACAATATAGAATGTAAACTTATTTTAGTGTCCTCTCTTATGCACTCTTCCTTCTCCCCTCTCTACCTTCCTTTCCTCTCTCTTTTTCTTTCTCCTCCACTTTACAACAATACTATTTAGTAGTTTCTCAGTAAGTATTAATTGGATGGATGGATGGATGGATGGATGCATGCATACATGAGCTACTATCCCCTCTACTCTATGCTTTTTGTTTCTTTTTGTTGTTGGTCAAAAATATTAAACTTTATTATTTGATTTTTAATGAAGAACTTGTGCTAACTCTAGGGTTAAAATAAAGAATGCCACAGTAAAGAAATAAAAGCCTTCCCCCAAAACAACATAAACCACCTACTTGTTATAGTTTAATTACACACTTTTCTATTTAGTACCAGTGGTGATAAACTTCCAGTGTGTTAACCTGTTTGGTTTCATTGGTGTTTAATATAATGTTACTCTCTTTGTTGGCACTTGAAAACCCCATATTTACCTGCTAATTCCCCTTAATGCCACATGAGGGGCATTTCTTGATGTGTGTAACACTTAAGAAATAAGAAATTAAACAAATAATCACATATCTATTGAGATCTTCTTATGATTAGCATGTTATTATTAGTTTTGATCAATAGCCAGAGGACCTGGCTTAGAAATGACAAACATTTCTTTAGTTATCTTTACGATATTTCTCTCTATATGAGAAAAATTCATATATGATTATAATAAAAAGTAGCCACTACAAGATTTCACTTCTTTTATCATGTCTCTAATTTGATAATTTGTCTTGTACTTGATAATTTGCTTTGCAAAGAAGATATGGAAAACCCTAATTCAGTTACTAGACACTTTTGGAAATGTATATGGGAAAAGTTTTGATTTGTGAATTAAATGCTTGTTTTATTTTCAGTTTCTGTCTCCCATCTCCCTTTTAGTTAGTTAATTCCATCAAGATGTAGATGTTTTAAAGATGCAGGTTTAAGTTTAATAACAGTCGTATTTATAGATACATAACATATTTAACAAGGGTTTCTGTGCATACCTTTTAGAAGAATGTATTACTAACATAACTCACCATTATCTAAAAGATAATCATGTCTCTACCTTAAGTATATTTTCAAATAGATAATTTTCCATTTTGTGGGGTGAATCACTGGTTAAAATTGATCATTTTTCAAAAATTTTTGTAATAGCAAGCAATAAAGGAGAACATCAAAAAAAGAGAAGCAGAGGAAAAAGAAAAACGTGCCAGAATAGCTAAAGAATTAGCAGAGAGAGAAAGACTTGAACGCCAACAAAAGAAAAAGCGTTTGTTAGAAGTGAAGACTGGTGAGTACTATCACATTTGCTATTTATTCTATGTATACTTAAGATTTATACTGGCTGCTTTATTAGCATATTAATGAACTTAATGAAAAAGGAAAATACAATCACTTGTTTCTGTAATTAAACCGCAGAACAATTGTTTCTTTATGGTCTTTTCTCCCTTCCATTTACTAACAAGTAGTGTAGTGTCTTCATTCTAATGGTCATAGGTGATTTGGTCCTCTGTTATGCTGTTTTGCTTCCAGCGTATTCACGTTTCTTTCATTACTAACTCAATGAGCAATCTTTAATAATGTATGTCAGTTAATAAAGTAACTATCAGAAAATGACTGTGGAGAATTCTATAGGACATGTAACCTGATTTCTTCAACAGAATATCCCAAGGGAGGGAAAAAAAGTGATGGAGGATAAACATTGTTTAAAAGAAAGAGACTTAAGTGAAATATTAGCCAACTGCAATGTATGGAATTTATGTGTATTCCAATCTGTGGTCCCAGCCACTCAGGAGGTTGAGGTAGGAGGATCGCCTGAGTCTGGAAGGTTGAGGCTGCAGTATGCCTTGATCTTGCCACTGCACTGCAGTCTGGGAGACAGTGAGATTTTGTTTCAAAAAAACAACAAAAAGAAAAAAGCAGTCTGAACATTTTGGATACTTTTTTCCCCCTGTAAACATGACAAAATTGTTGTCAATATGTTTCAAAGTATCTTTTAGAGTCTGGTACTGAAATTTTACAGAAACATATGTATATATGTATTTCAAGAAGCTAAAAGATACCACTTATTTAGAAGCAAAAGAATTATGTAAAATGTAGTTATATTTTCATTCCCTGAAAAATTTGGCTTTTCTACTTCCAAGTCAGTAAGGATTGAACAAGGCTTTAATTAAAATCCATCCGCTTCACTGCTAAATCACCATAGTTTACAATTCAGGGTTGCAAATTCACCTCAGGTTTCCCCAGGAATAGACAGAGATGCCTACTTTGCCTTCTTTACTTTCACTTAACAGGTATATTTTGTGCTTACTAAAGTGAACGGAGTACCTTAATGTATTGCACTTGTTTCTTCCTGGGAAGAAACATCATCTAAGCACAATTTCTTGTTTATATTTGAAATTCAGGGAATATTCTCAGAATTATTTTTAAGTATGAATGAAAATGGAGATCAGAAAGATTTAGTATTTATTTTTAAAATATGCTTCTGGAAAGAATTTTAAATTAATATATTATTTCCTAACTTACAGAAGATTATGGTGTTTGAACATTAACCCTTTATTTATTTATTTATTTGTTTTTGAGATGGAGTTTTGCTCTTCTTGCCCAGCCTTGAGTGCAATGGCGCGTTCTTGGCTCACTGCAACTTCCACCTCCTGGGTTCAAGGGATTCTCTTGCCTCAGCCTCCCGAGTGACTGGGATTACAGGGGCCTGCCACCATGCCCAGCTAATTTTGTATTTTTAGTAGAGACAGAGTTTCACGATGTTGGCCAGGCTGGTCTTTAACTCCTGACCTCAGGTGATCTACCTGCCTCAGCCTCCCAAAGTGCTGGGATTACAGGCATGAACCACCACTCCCAGCCTGAACATTAGCTCTTTTAGCATTGGCTAAAGTTATCTAGATGAGTTGCTAGATGGCAGATTGGATGCATTGTTTGTGGATTTTGCCCAGAGTCTGATCACACAGAGTGTCTCAGTCATTCTCTCTTATACCAGTTTGAAAGATTGAAACTTGATAGGGCACAGAAATTCTAATAAAACTTCCAGTGTAATCTCAGTAATGTTTTAATTTAAATTTGTGTCTCCGTAAGGAAATTTTCATTTTTAAGAATGAGTTTATTTTTCAAATTTATTTACATTATAGAAAACACCTAAAAAAAAAAGTAGATCAAAAGACTGTTACCCATAATCTTCCTATCCAAAGAATCACTGTAAACATTTCTACACACTGTTCTTTCAGTTTTAAATTTTTCTGCTTTCTAATAGTAGCTATGCAGTTCAGTGTCACACTTTATATTGCTGAACTTTTGAATGTTTCATGTTATTAATAACTTGTAATCCTTATAATTTTTAATATCTATATGATTGATTCCACTGGATGTGCCATATATAATTTAACTTGCATTAGTCAGTAATGAAGTCATGGAACAATAGTTATTGCTGATTTTTCAATGTGATTAATCTTTTTATTCATAAATAGAAAATAATTATTTTATTGGACATAGAATAGAAAAGGATATTTTTAAGACTTTTGATGCATACTTACAAATTGATTTTCAGAAGCATAACTTTAATTTTCTCAACTTTCAACATTGAGTTATGATTGTGCCTTGGTTGAATATTCTTATTTTTTAAAGATTTTTCCAAATTTATAGATTTTAAATTTATGTTTTATTATCTTAATTTGCATTTCTTTGAGTATTACTAAAGTTGGACTTTTAAAAGGGTTTATAGTTCAGTTTTCGTTCCTCTGTCGTGAATTGTTATCTTTCTTTTATTGATTTGTACAAGTTAGCTCAGTATGTATTCATATTTACATTTTAAATATCTCTTTCCAATGTGGCTTTTTTATTTCTATATCTTGACATATATAAAACTATTTTATTTTCATTCTATGATGTTTTAATATTTGCCTTTGTTATTTTTTTCTATCACCTTTAAGTTTATAAAATCATCCTTTCAGTGATTTCATATCAACTTCATTTCTTTTCTAGTTTTGATTATTTATAATATGACTCTACTCCACTTATTTATAATTCTTCCTTAATTATTCATATATTTGATAGATAGGTTTTAATATACTAGGATCTGTTTCTGAATTTTACCAAAACCATTCTAATATTTAGCCATCAATTGTGTTTAATAGCTGTTTTATGTTGCTTTAAAATCGGTAACTTTATGTTGATGACATTACCTTCTTTTCTTAATTTTAAAATAGGCTTGAATGTTTTTAATTTTAACAATAGATTTACAGAAAGATTTTATTATATCTTTCGTTAATCATAGAGCCCATCTTATTTGACCTGTTGGATTATTTTATTAGACTTTTTCTGTACTATCTCTTCCTAAACATGGTCTGCAAATTGTCATAGGTGGGCCTCAAGTAAATGTAAAATCCTCACCCAATAGGACTTTCCAAACCTCTAATTTGCTGAGGTGCATATGCATCATACATTTTAACATTTTTCAGGAGTGCCCTCTGCAGAGCATAGTCTGAGTAACTTTGATTTATATAAATGATATTAAAATAATTTTAAATATATTTGTAAAATACAGATATATGCTGTATCTATATCATACCTATGAATATGCTATAGATGTAATAAAACTCATTTGATACAAGATGCTGAAACAGCTATGATTTAAGAAGCTACTGTGAGACTTTGTCTTTTAAAAACATTTGAAATTTTTGCAAGTCAACTTTGACTTTTTTTTTTTTAGACTGCGGGATTTAAAATAATCTAGGGATAATAGCCCAAATTTCATAATATTTGTAAACACATAATTTTCTCACCAAAGTGAAAGACCTCTTCTAAAATCCCAATAAATTATGATGATTCTGAATGGTCCTTAGTTTTCCTTTAAAATCAACGCAATTATTAACGTAGAAGAACCAAGTATTTGATTTCTTAAAGTAACTGTTATTACCAAGTGAGTCGTATAATCATATAACAAATATATTATTACATGCTTACTTATTGATAACTTTTTCATTTTTAAAAACATCACAAATATACAATCACCTTTTTTCCATATTATATGTGGAATATGCTTTTTGTCAAGTCATGATTTTTATAACATTTGAAGGCTTTATGAAATGGAGGTTACTAAAGTAGTGTATCTAATTTAGCACTTAATTACTGAAAACATGTAAAATATCAGTTTTTTATACTTTTAAATTGATACATTGAATTTTATCCTTATGTGATATTTGACAAATATGATCTTCAATAAAGACACTATACTATTATAAAAATATGTTATCATTTCTATTATTATTTTATTGGTAAAAAATGAAATACAGCAAGGCCACTTTTTATTGTTCTTTTATTCATCAAGTTTTTTTCTATATGTTGAGATTACAGTGATAAATAAGAATAAAAAGGTTCCTGTTGTAATGAAGTTTAAAATTCTAATGAATCCTTCAAATAACCAAATACAAAATAATATCAGATAATAATTTATAGGAACTAAAATAAGAACGATAATGAGATGGAGACTGCTTAGGCTGGTGGCAGTAACAAAATTTGGTCTCAGAGAACTAAGGAGACTATTAGTATATATCAAACTTTCTAATTTAAATATTGTTTAATAAAAATCCTCAGAAGTTGATTAAGATTTATATAATCAGTGTATGTGGTTTTCGGATAACCAAGCTTATAAGCTATTCTATATGTGCTAATATGGTGTATATTTTAAACATTGTGAGGATCAGTTGAAACTTTATGTAATTTTTCTCCACAGGTGTTATATTTTAGTACAGAACGTGGTACTGCTCAAATCTTTGTAAAAATTTTTAGCCTGACTTTCTCAGCCTTGAAAGAATGTGGAAGGGTGAATTATTGAATTTAGTTTTGTTACCTCACTGAGCCAAGAACTTTTTGTTTTAGTTTATTTTCGTATGTAAGACACATATCCCTGGATGGTAGAAGAAGAGAAAAATCTTCACATAACTCTGCCATAAACCCACAGAGAGCTTCCTTCCATATATTTTCGTGGCTTTAGTATTTCCTCCATGCAAATAAGAACTGAATTTTTTCACAGGTGTTGAAATTCTTATATCACTATCTGAGGTAGCAGAGTAAATTAAATTCCTGTTCTTTCTTACTCACAGTAAATCATTACTTGCCGTTGGCAAGAGAACAGGCAACTATTTCCAAATCTACTATTATTTATTATCACTATCATTTCAGAATGTGATTTTTGTTAATAGAATGAAAATAAAGGTAAAAATAGTGGACTAAATTTCTCCAAGAAGAAAAATGAAGCATTAAAAATCCTTTTGAGCCTCA